CTATGTACTTGAGTATAGAAAGTAATCGGACTGGTGTCTCTTTTATGGCCAGTAAAAGTCTGATGTACTGGTTCAGTGGCTCTTTAGGCCAAACACTGTAGTAGAGTAAATTTGTATACCTGGTAATTAAGGGTTTAGAATCCAGTCTGTACTCCCGCTGCCTCTTCTTCCACTCTTTGGAAAATGAAATAGAAACAATGGCATCCAGATTTAATTCAGTGTACCAAGCGAGCAGGGTGAATTTGCCATTGTAAAAGCAGATGTGGCTCTCAGTATTGCAAGTTACGATGCAGCTGTGCAAGCATACAGACAAAGATAGATTAGGAACCGGTAAATGCAGGTCACAACTCACATGCAACAACAGACAATATTTCTTGCTGTGCCCACCTGTCGGTGACGGCCAGAACAGTGATTTGCTGTTGCTGGAGGTTGATTCGATTGGCCGTGTCTTCTTTCACAAGCCACTCAACAACACCCCCTCCAGAGGCTATTAAGATCTTAGGCTCTTCCCAGTGAAACACAGACCGACTGAGAGACATATTTGCCACACCAAAATTTTCAGAGCGGTCCGAAGTAAATTCAGCAGCACCGCTGGTCTCCTTATTGAACTGTAATGGCAAAACACACCAGAACACAAATCAATATATTCAGTTACATAATGAGACAGACAGTTTAATAACAACTTCAAATTTAGAAGATTATCTTCACCTTCTTGAACTTCAGGTCAGTGTACTGCAGACTTCCACTTGCCTGAAAAAGGATGAGTCTATCACTATCACAATAAATACATAACAGTTGTAATATGCTTTAAAAAACAATACTGAACAGCTGAACTCACGCTGCTGTAGAATAACACATGACTTTCACTGCTGCTGAGCAGCTGAGAGCTATTCTTCAGCCTAAACATGATGTAATCCTGAAAAACAGCTTAACACTTCAACATCTGTTCACCACAGTGCCGTTTCCATAAAGCAATGGTTCTATTCACATACTGAGAAAGCATATTTACCTGAAAACCATATTTAGGATTGAGCTCGGTAAACCACAAAGGCTTTTCTGATTCATTGGTCCAGTCCCAAATGCACACACGCTGAAAAGATCGCCATATAATTTAAGCAGATTGTCAGTTCATGAAGTTTGCTTTTACCATACAGGCACTGTTTGTCCTACCAAATTCAAAAATATAATGATCTTAGCTGTTTTTAAGCTTGGAAAACAGCTCAGATTGGCCACACACAAATATATATATATTTATACATATATACATATTTGAAAGAGAATCCTGTTGTGTTTGTATGTAAGTGTTTCTAAGACCAGGAAGTGTTGCTTAATATAAAATTTCGTGAAGAGCATGTTTCATAATCTCAGCAGTAACCTCTTTTCTTTTTAGGTGTATCTAAACTGTGGGTGTCAGTGTAACTGTTATATGTAAAATAAAATGTGATAATAGTATAAATAACTATGTAATTGTAATTTTGCATACGTTTGGACAGTTCTGGTTAAATAACTGACTTACACCATTTTGTGTGAAAAGGACAGCATACAATGTGCAAAGTTATCAATTGCTCCCTCTCACAAAACATCCTCAGAATCAGCTTTTTTTGTGTAATAGCTGCAGTATATTTAAATAAGCCATACAAAATGTTACCTTCCACATCAGCAGCATTCTCTGAGCTACACGCCTCATGATTGCATAGGAGTGGGTCAAAAATTGCACTACTTGGTTCACTTTTTCACTAAAATTGTTTCATCATTGCGATATGGCCAAACTGTCAACATTTCACAGTCTATACTTACAAATGTTGAAATTTGACTATATTACACGTTTCTTTTGACCAGGAAGTAACAGGGCTAGAAGATTAGTCTGGTATTAAAATTTAACTAAAAGGGAGACCTTGCATGCGCTATAACTTGTTTTGACCAGCTGCAGTCATGTGAAAAAGAAAGTGCACACTTACTGCTTTAGCAGCCAGGTGATGATAGAGATATTATATAAATATAGACAGATAAATGTAGAAATATAGATATAATATGAAATGTAAATCTAATCTAATAATCTTTGCTGTACACTATATGCTTATCAAATGCTTTTGATTAACTGATCCTCATCAAGTGTGAGCACCTCTATAACAGGAGAGGTTTTGGCAGTTTGCTGGTCTGGAACTTTCAGGTTAGGTTTGTATTAATACAGTCTCACAGTCTTCCCAGGAATGGATGTCTCAGCAAATCCACCCCTGCTCAGAGAAACTGCAAAAAAACCCAAGAGCTACATCGGAGACTCTAAGGTCCTTGGTTTGCATGATAAATGCTATATTTAGAAAATTAGAAAAAGACTGATCAAGTATGGCTGGTCTAGAAGGGCTGTCATGATAAAGCCTCTTCTCTTCTAACAAGAACATGGCAAAACAGGTTAGTTTTGCAAAGTTGCATCTGAACAAATCACAAGACTTATGTAACAATGTTATTTGGACAGATGAGACCTAAGTGGAGATTTTAGGTCATAATGTCAAAGTTTGGTCAAAGATTTTAGTCAGAGTCCAGACCTCAACCTGATTAAAATGCTGTGCTGGGACCTTAAGAGAGTGGTGAATAAATGAATACCCACAAACCTCAATGTCAAAAGTTTTCCACAATAATGCAAGAGACTGATAAAGTCATACAGAAAATGGTTATTGCTACTAAAGGTGGTTCTAAAAGCCACCGATTCATGGGGTGTACTTATTTTTTCACAGAAACCATCCTGCGAAACCTTCTTTTCCATATGACCGCCAATCCCAAATGGTGATATGACTCTTATAAAAATGACCTAAAATGACTAAAATGCTGTTTCATTGAAATATTAGAAAAACAAATTTAAAAAAGAGCGATTAATTTAGATACATTTTACTGATGCTGCTATCATTTTTTATTTTCCATACACATATTATGATTACAGTGATTTATTTTTTATTTGTATTTTTTGCCAGCACAATAGCTCGGTGGAAATTTTATATTGTGACAGCCCTGAGCTGCCATACTTACTTGAAATTCTTCTGTCCCAAGTGTTACCAGATGTTTTGTGTCGCTTGAAAACGCTATTGCTATGACACCGGCGTCAGGGTGACAGTCAAACAACGTGTTCACAGGAATACTGTAACATTTATCAAATAGGTGGTTACCATTGAGAGCAAGGTTAATGCAGTGAAAATGCTTCAATGTGTGAAGAATGAAGAGATACCCAGAGTAGGAGTCCCATATGATCACCATGCCATTTGGTCCCCGGTCTGCTGTTGCAATCCAGCGTCTGTCTTCACTCACACACATAGAAGAAATGGAGTGGGAGTGCCCCTGAAGACATTAAGGAGAATATATAAATCTGCACACCTGTTATGAAAAGATATATACTGTGAACATTTAACATGAAAAACCAGGCTAACATGATCTGATTTCTCAGACTGTTTATTGCAACTTAAAGCAATGACTTACTCTTACATTGTTCAAAAAGTTGAAGTGATTTTTACCTTAAGCATGTGCCGGGACTTTGAGGTGTGATTGTAAATAATCCCAACATGAGCCGCAGCATAGAGCAAAACCAGCTCATCCTGGTCTTGCAGAGTGAAAACGGGAAGAGCAGGGTTCATGCCACAGATGAAATCTAGTGACTGGATGAAGGACAGGTTTAGGGTATTGCCAAGAATATGTGAAGTAAAACAGACAAATACTTTCAAATTACACTCAAATATAAACACTGATTGGGACATAATTACCAGTACATGTGCTTCAGCATCAGTTGTCTTCTTTGAGAAAAGTGTGTCTCTAGTTGCAGTGTAGACTTGAGACTGCCCAGTCCTCCTCGGTATGTCAGAGTTTTCCTTTTCTTTATCCTTACCTGCTTCTTCCCTGTCTTGTTCTTGTCCCACTACTGGGTGCTTTTCAGCTTCATAGCTTGTGGGTGGCTCCATTATGATTAACCTTACCTTTTGGTACTTATATAAGCCTTCTCCTTATTATCCTTGCCCTAAATTAACTGTAGGCCAAATAGTAACAGAAACACAACACATTTAAGCTATATTCAATATTTGCTCTTTTTAATTTTATTCCTACCAAAATTTAAAGTTTTCGTCTGTTCTGTCTGGCTGCTACTTGAAGGAAAGCGTTTCGTTGCCTAGTTACAGAAGATCAACGGATGAGCCTTTTCAAATTAAAAGCACGATAGTCACAAAAGCACTCGAAAGCATTAAAGGTGGGGGCAAATGCTTTCCTTTCGATATGAAAACACAGGAGGATCTTTCTGGTCATTTAATATGTTTATTTATTGTAATTGTTACATTACATTATAGGATAATTACTGTCAAAAGAATAAACATTGTACTTTCTTTGGTGCTCATAGTAAGCCAGGAATGTCCTAAATAAGTTTAGCATAGACATTCCAAGGAAAACAATTGTCAACAAAAAAAATTCAATTGCCTTTAAAAAATTATGAAATAAAAATTATTATAGTTGCTCCAGTTCTAATTGATGTATCACAGGTTCTGAACAGTGCTCCATGCAAGAAACCCAATAAAAGCATAATGAGTGGTCAAAGCTGTCATATATGCCCTTATAGAATTGGTTTGGAAAGCTCTGTGGGTGATCTACTAACCGCTGCTTGTTTTATACAAACACAAACCAGTTCACTTAGCCCTGCCCCCTGACATTTATGATCTGTGAGGTTGACAGATAAAATAAACTTACGATACACTGTATCATATTTAATCAAATAGTGACATGATTAAATATGTTTTTAAATAAAATAATTATGTATTTAAATATTTTTTTATTTTAATTAGTTGACAATTTTTCCATTATTTGATTATGTGTTTTTTAAAAGATAAAAGCCACGATAGACAAGATTATGTGGTTATTAATTATAATAATTCGAGATCGCATAAACCAAAAGGATGTTTTATTTTGAAATCTACAGATGCTCCGTATATATAAAGCTTTTACTTTGAAGGGTCGACACGGTGTCCAAATACCTGTACTTTCACGGTTTCCTTCTGGATGGTTTTTCCGGTTGCACGGCTTTAGAAGCGGCGGACTTTCTGGTTCTGTTTCGTGCCACTGGGCGTTATTAATGTTTGCTACCTGTTCTTAGCCTTTCGTTTTTTCTTACTAAATGTCTTCAACCGAGGTCTGAAAGGTTCTCGTTGTCATTATGAAGCGTTTATGACTGTGACGACTCCAGAAAGTAAAGGAGCGCTTTGATAAGATAACAGCTGAGGCTGGTAATGGTTTTATCAGCTGACAGGTGAGACTGACGGTTGTGTTTAAAACGAGGTTTTGGTGACTGATTTAATGATTGACTGGTCACTCGCTTTTAGTTGGTACTAGCATTAGCATTAGCCAGCGGTTCTTGACGCCAATCCCCCTCAGCTGACAGTCAGCCGCTCCAGCTTGAGATGCTAACGGCTAACACCCAACTCTTATACACTCGGGTATTAGACATTATGCCTTCATTGAAAAGTTTTGAATAAAATGTTACCACGAGGCTATAGCTTTTTTTGCAATAGTACTCGATACTGCCGAAAAAATTAGTTAACTCTCAGCGCCATAGAAATGTATAAGACGTCTTAGGATACTAGGATATTTTAGGATATTTTTCACTCACTGGACACTTTAAGTAGACCTTGCTAGTGTCGGGTTGGATCCCCTTTTGCAATCAGATTGGCCTTAATGCTTCACGCTATAGATTCAGCATTGAACCGGAAGCATTACGCAGAGATTTTTGTCCATATTGACATGACAGCATCACACTGTTGCTGCAGATTTGTCAACTGCACATCTATGATGTGAATCTCCCGTTCCATCACATCCCAAAGGTGCTTTATTAGATTGAGATCTGGTGACTGTGGAGCCCACTCAAGTACAGTGAACGCGTTGTCGTGTTCAGTAAACCAGTTAGTGATGATTTGAGCTTTGTGAAATGGTGTGTTGTCTGTCCCATCAGAAGATAGGAACACTGTGGTCATAGAGGGATGGAAGTGGTGAGCGACAATACTCAGTTATGCTGTGGTGTTTAAGCAATGCTTAGTTGGCACTAAGGTTCAAAGTTTGCACAGCAACACCAGCCTGAACAATTGATACAAGCCAAGATGGATCCATGCATTAATGTTTTCTGACCCTGTGCCAAAATGGAATTTGGACATTTTTCCAATCTTATATTTATCAGTTTTAGTTGTTCAGTTTAATGTTCTTTGCGTCACTGCAATTCTGACATTATGTGGTCATCCAGAATCATAAAATGAGACTTGGTTGAGTTTTTTTTTTCTTCTATAAATTTTCACAGGGTGATGGGCTATGGTACGCATAACCAGGCTATAGTTTCAAACACACAACTGAGCTTTCTTTAAAAATACTGACCTTTTTTATAAGACAAATATTGAGTAGTTAAGTATAATAATAATGATGATAAGTATAGTGGAACTTTACTTTTTTTGTGCTCTAAAGCTGAATTGTACGTCCAGCAGGTAGCACATAAAAGACATGTGGATGGATAAACAGAGAGGAATCAGAGTTTCTCAGGAGGAGCTGCTCTGTAAGAACGCCTGTGGTTACTATGGAAACCCAGCATGGCAGGGTTTGTGCTCCAAGTGCTGGAGAGAGAGGGCACGGGCCGCTGGAACCCCAAGAGAAGAAATTAGGTAAACTTTATTCACGCTGTTACGTTTGCACATTATGTTAAAGTATATTGAAAATGTATGTGAGAATACTGTCCTTTAATATGACATCTGGATATGTGAGGGTATAACGCATCAGTCTAAATACAGATAGAGAGACCTTCCATTTGTTTTCTGTCTCTCAGCTCGGGACAGAGATGTCTAATCCTTTCATTCCTCATAGACCGCGCAGTGATGGAACGCTCCCCACATTCTCCAAATTTGAGGAGAAGAAAAACATTGAGAAAGGTCGCCGAATTAACACAGTGAGAAAACTGTTCTGGGGCAGCCCATCACCTCCAAAACCTCAAGGTAAATCTTTAGTTTTGTGGTTTTCTTAAAGTCATTATTAGGTCAACAGCCAGTTACAGCAGCTAGCCCCATTTGAGGTTGCCACAGCAGATCAGCTGCCTCCATTTCACCTTGTCCAAGCATACTCCTCTGTCACACCAACCAAGGTGGCCCTTTTTACTTTTTTTTCTGCAATCCTGTCTCTCTGAAATACTCAAAAAGAAGAATAACTTAATACTACCCAGCTCCTCTGAATAGAAAGCCAGAATTCTTCCTCTAAACATTGTCATTAAGTCCATGAAGGTAAAAGTTTTAACCTTCCCTCAGTATTTTTGTTGTCTGTAAGAAAAAACCCCAGTAAAATGCAGAGAATAAGGCAACAGACTTTACTAATAATCACTGTACATAAACATCCACCATACCTTCTGCTGAACGTGAACGCACTATATATACTGTTTTGGTCTTTTGTACACATCCAAATTATACATACCCATATACTATTACCAGGCCACTGGAGAACCTCAAGACATGTTAAGGATGTAATTTACCCATATTATATAGCTGTGTTGGATCAAGGACACATCTAAAACCTGCAGGACACTGGCGCTTGAGGCCTAGAGTTCCCTCACCCCTGGATTAGATTATCTGGCTATCTGTTTGGATTTTGCTGCCTCTTCACCTTTTGACTATTTGTCCCTCCAGAGTCTTCTGAAAGCCGTGCAAATGTGTTAAAAGCCTACGAAAACCTTGAGCCTGGAGACTTCACTGGTTTCCTAAAGATACTTCGGAGTCCTCCTTCCCAGCGCTTGCAGTCCCGCTGTACAGCTTTTCTCAACACAATGGAGGCATACCATGTAAGCAGTTTAAGCATCTAACACGACAATTATGTCACGAGTTAGAGGCATCCTGATCATCGATTCACGTCATCTTTGCAGGATCTGCCGGTGCAGAAGCAGTCAGACCTCGTGCAGGATTTTTATCAGTCTTTTGCTGAATATTTTAGCAGTGAGTACAGATCTGTTCCAAACTGTGTATGATACAATATTTGTATTTAAAGTGGCTTTTAAATCGCTGTTTATGTTTTCAGGTTTTCCTGAAGCTCAGGTCACTCAGATAATGGAGCATGTAGAGAAGTTAATAATGACACGGCTGCACAAATGGGTTTTCTGCCATGACAGCTGTGATGATGAACAGAAGGACCTGGCTCTCCAGAGAAGGATCCGGTACATCAGCTGTGTTTTGTTTTGGTTTTACCCATCATGGAAAATAACCTCAAACTTCTTATCCTGAGTTAAAAGTCAGGATTAGAAGTTTTGTGTTTTTGTTTTTTATAACTAATGTCTCTTATTTGCAGTTCTTTGAACTGGGTTACGCCGCAGATGCTAGGCGTACCTTTTCCTGATGAAAAGGTCTCTGTCACAGGCGACCCCTTTCTGCCTGCTATAACTGGTGATTTAAAATCTCAATACTTAAATGAGCAGTTTGACATGGTGGGAAATGCATTTGTTTGCTTTCTTATTTAAAAATTGCATCAAAAGATTCATGTCATGAGCAACTTTGATGCTGGTAACAGGCTTGCCAACTGCAGCCTCGTATTTAACTCCCTGACATAAGAAAGTAAAAATGCATTTCCCAAAATGAAAAACTGTGACTTTAATGATAAAGGGAGGCATATTTTGTCAATGTCATAACATTTGAAATGAGTTCCAGACTTTATTTTTCCCACAGCCATAATCGAAATGGATGCCAAACGAGCACCTCAAGACAAACTCGCGTGCGTTTCCAAATGCAGCCAGCATGTCTTCGAAGCCCTTTCCCGCTCAAACAGTGAGCCTGCTAATGCTGATGACTTCTTGTCAAGCCTGGTTTACGTGGTGCTGAAGGCCAATCCACCTCGCCTCCACTCCAACATGCAATACGTGATTCGATTTGGGCTCCCTCACAGTCTGATGGCGGGAGAGAGCGGCTACTATTTCACAAATTTGGTGAGTTGGCTGAAAAGTTCCTCACCCATCATACACCACAGGGTGTTGTTAGACCTGTTAATAACTCATACTGGTGTCCATTTGTCTTTATTTAGTCCTGTGCTGTGGCCTTCATTGAAAAGCTGGATGGGCCGGCACTCAGCCTCAGTCCAGAAGAGTTTGAAGGCTACATGCTGGGTCAGCGTACTCCCTGTGCATTAAACAGGAGGCAGCAGGTGATCAGTGACACACAGAACCTGCTAGAAGACCTCAAAGGCAGGCAGGAGAAGCTGGACCAAGGTATGGATGCTCTCAATGCGCAGCTACAAAAGTGGGTGCAAGAAGTTCATTCACAGCTGGATGAGACCAGAAGCCAATTTGTCCTGGCTCAGAAGGAGATAACGGCTCAGAAGGAGGTTTTGTTGTCCACTCAGGATAATAAGGAGGAGTCAGTGCTGGTGCTTGAGGATCAAGACGGAGGTTTGAGGGAAACGGGCTGTTAGACATTTCTATTAATAGAATAATAATAATAATTATTATTATTATTAGTAATAATAATATTAATCTGGCACTTGACTTTATTTAATTGTCAGCACTAACATTTGTAGGCTGCAGGACAAATAAAGCGTACTTTCCAGTGCCACATTTGCACATGCTCCCAATGCAGGAGTAGGGCATTTGTAAGCCAGCTGAAGATGAAGGAAACTTTATGCATGCAGTAACACAACCTTCACAGAGGTTTTAATGACTTTAGTCCAAATTATTTGCCCGTCTGTCCAATTTAAGCATTGAGCCAATAAATTACATTCCATTTTCCAATAAGAGATCTCATATGTACCATTTAAGCACTCAGGGTACACAGCACTTACAGATGTAGAACAAACACTTTTCCGATACTTATTCACTATGATAATTTTGAATAGTTTTATACCATTGTGCCTTTATGTATGCTGCTCTGAAATTCCAAAGTAGGCTACAGGACAAGTTGGTGTGACTGTTCTTGACTAAAAGTCAGGGGTGTATTTGTGAAAGCTGTGTATTTGTTCTCAGCACGTGGGTGCAAAAAATGTTTAGCATGCACAAGCTGCACGTTGTTTACAGCTCTAGAAAGATTTCTGAAAAAAATCCAAGGGCTTCATCTAAAGATCTGTGATTGTATGTATCTAATATATTAAAGGTGACACATGATTGAATGTAATGTGTTTGGGTGTTTTCCTTCACTAAAGCAGATGATTATTTGCCATATCGAGAAGTTTTAGAAACATGGCTTTTTGGAAAGTCAGACAGGTGTCAGATGTTGAAATGACTCAGTCCAATGACTAACTGATAGTCCAAACCTGTTCCTCCTTTACTAATTTCCATTAAAAGCTTCTTTTTTTTTAAATAAAAAAAAGTTTTAAAAAAACAAAACTTTATCATATAAATGGAAAACTAAAAGGTTTTAAATTCATGCTGAGATTCTAGTAGTAATAACTGTCTGCATCTTATATGATAAAAATAAACTGATAGTAGCTCTTTTGAAAAAAATAAATATTAGTATACTGGAAAAATAAAGTACTCAAAAAAGCTTCACACTAATGTTTTGGTGAGAGCAAAATAGTGATAATCTCATGCAACTTCAAAACTGATATTTACAACCAGCATTACTGCATTATCGGGAGGGGGGGTCCTAGTCATTCAGGATATACAGGCAATAAGGTGACCTAATTTTTTTGGTGAATATTGTTGCCTAATCTAGATCTTCAGTCAAGTGAAAGAGAGCCTGGGCATAATAACTAAGAGTAAAGTCGCATATAAACACATAGTGAGTGAAGACCAAATGCTCAATGCATCATGGGAAGCCCCCAGCAGGCAAGGCTCATATAGTGTAACTAAGGAAGGGTTAGGGTCAAGGTCAACTGATCCACTCCTAACAATGAGCTATATCAAAAAGGAAAGTTTTAAACCTAATCTTAAAAATAGAGAGGGTGTTTCTCTCCCAAACCAAACGAGCTTGTTCCACAGAAGAGGGCCCCGAGAGCTTACAGCTCTGCTTCTCAGATGGAAGCAGGTAGAGGACAAAAAAAAATCTGAGCTGAGAAATCCACAAAAGGAAGAATCATTGATCACTGTTGTGTATGAGTTGTCGGAAGTTTTTTTTTTTTTCTTTGTACTGATGGAACCCAGTAGTGAACGTGTTTTCCACTGGAGTATAAAAAATATAAGCCAAAGTTTAAATGTTCCAGTTTAGGTATTTTTTAGAAATTCTATATGTGTCATTTAAATTATTAGTTATTTCATTCTAATTCTGCGCTTTTCGGCTGTAGTTGTTTTGCACAACATAACAATGAACAACAATAATTACTACTAATTTCATTATTATTTGTGCTGGTGGCAGTAATACCAGTTTAAAGATCGTCTAAAATGTTTTCGTACAACGAGCAAATCATTGAGGGACAGCGGAGCGCTTTACTGCCAAATAAAGACAAGAGAAGAAGAAACAGGCGTCACACCGGAAGCACTAGTTGGAGTAGCCATGAAGATGACAGATGAAAACATTTCTGGAAACTCCGAAATAACAATGGATGATGTTAAAAACCTCATCAAGAAGAAAGATGAAATTGAAGAGCAGATAAAGGCGTATTACGATGTCCTACAAGACGTAAGTCGGCGACCATATTATTAGCAAAACGTAGCACAAAGCTAAGTCACAGTAAGGTTTTTTTAATCGCCTTTGTTTACTTTTATTTACAGCAGGGGGTCGGAGTTGAAGACTCTTTGGTGGATGCGGAGGGTTACCCACGAGCAGATGTTAATCTGTACCAGATCAGGACGGCAAGGCACAACATTTCATGTGAGCAGCAGTTTGTTTGCTTTCAGTGGTTTCCCTGACAGCTGGAGACACACATGTCGTGTTTGACTGTGTGGCAGATATATGGTCTCTTTATGTTGTGTGGTAGAAAAACTGATGTATGCTATCAAAGCACAAACTGACGTCTCATAATTTACGCACACACCACGTGTGCGGTGCATTTTTAAAAGTAGTATTTCAGATAACTTATCTACGTTCCCAAGGCATGATGAAACAAAAGTACATGTTAATGGTCACTAAAAGATTTTAAAGATGACACCAACAGATAATTCTATTTGGTTTTAATATGTAGTAAGCATTTTAAATGCCGTTTATTTTTCTACAATGTAATACACTTGCCAGAGTGTACACCAGACTGCACCCACCTTTGACTTCAGAGCTGCATTAATGCTTCAATGCATAGATTCAACAAGGTGCTAAAAATGGGATAAACATGTTCAACAACAATACTCTGGTAGGGTGGGAAGTTTAAATGATGCTCACTCAGTACTAAGGACCCAGAGTGGACCAAGAAAATATCCCCAACACCATTACACCACCATAATCTACTTGAACTGCTGATGCAGTGGATTTGTGCTTTTGTTGCAGCAGAAATGAAAACTCATCAAACCAGGAAACATTTTTCCAATCTTCTGTTGTTTGATTTTGATGAGCCCCTCCCAATTGTAGCTGTAGTTTCTTGTTCTTAGTTGACAGGTGTAGCGCCTTGTGTGGTCTTCTGTTGCTGTAGCTCATATGTTTCAATGTTCCAGATGTTGTGAGTTCAAAGATACTCCAGCATAGCTTAAATGAATGGTTTTTTGAGTTACTGTTGTCTTCCTATCGGCTCGAAGCCATTCTTATCTGACCTCTGACATCAGCAAAGTATTTTCACCCAGAGAACTGCCACTTACTGGACATTTTCTGTTTTTCTGACCAGTCTCTGTAAACCCTAGAGATAGTTGGTTGAGAAAATCTCAGCAGATTCTAAAAGACTCAGACCAGCCTCCCTGCTACATTCACTGTAGCTGCTGCCATGTTATTGGCTGATTAGGTATTTGCATTTACAAGCAGTTGAACAGATGTCTTCAACAAAGTGGCTATTGGGTGTATATTATATATTTTTGTTTACTTAATATGTTATTTAATGTTTTAATGTATACTTATTATTTATTATATTTCTTTGATTTCAGATTGGTTTTAACCCTATTAAGATATTTATTCTATACTCAGGCCTACAGAACGATCACAAGGCCATCATGGCGGAGATAGAAGAAGCCCTACACAAGTTACATGCTCGAGAGAAAGCCAAGCGGGAACAGGATGAGGCAGAAGCCCAGGAGGAGGCGATGGAACATCAGGTTACGCTGCCTCCACCTTTTGCACAGGTTGATGCTGTGACAGAGGGATCACCTGCCTGTGGAGCTGTGAGTGATGTGAACTTTTGTAGCTAGCAGCTGTTTTCAGTTTGTACTGCAAAACATTGGGGGGTGGGGGGTGGTGGTTCTCCTATAATTTTAGTGATTGTTTCTTTTAAAAGGGGCTCCGAGTCGGTGATGAATTGATCGAGTTTGGTTCTGTGAACTCAGGGAACTTTCAGAACCTCCAGAATATTGCTTCTGTGGTGCAACACAGTGAAGGGGTAAGAACCACAGAAAACTCAGCGGGCAATTAATCAAACTTCATTTCTTAATATTCCATTACAGTTTATTTTTGTTGATGCATGAAGCTTGTGATGCATAAGAAGTCATACTTTGCATATAATTTCATTTGTATTTAACTTTGTATTTTTTGTTTTTGTTTCTTAAAAGCATCTCCCTTGTTGTTATTTGAGTCTGCAAACTGTAATTTGACATTCCTCTGCAGAAACCATTGCACGTCTCGGTGATCCGGGCTGGCCAGAAAGTTCAGATGAGCCTGACTCCACAGCGGTGGTCAGGCAGAGGTTTGCTGGGGTGAGTGCACGACTGTGGCAAAATGACATGTTTGACATAGACTAAAGCTCTCCCCCAGCTCAGGGGATGCATCCTTTAAAGGCTGACAGTGTTGCAGCACTGTAGCAAAGTCTCTCCCATTTCTATGCTGCCAACTAAGTTTGTGTCCTATCACATCATCTGGGAAAACGCCATTCTAAATTTTTACTGGATATAAAATCCAACACCTGCTCGGGGCTGTGAGAAGTTTTCAAATTTAAAAATGAATGAATGAATAATAAATTTTCTTGCACCATCTGAAATACTGTGGTTTATTCTCTCACCCTCATATCCCTCAAAAATATACTACTCTTCCTCTGCTGCTGTCACAGTTGCAGCTCAGTGTGGGCTTTGTGTCCTATGGAGTACACACCTTCAGAGGATGCAGCTCCGGAGTTGTACGAGTTTGGAGATTAATAGATATTTGGAAACAAAAACAAGTGATGCCCTCAATGACAAGAAAATGCTGAAAAACTGTTTCTTGGCATATTATTTCTACAATTTGCCATGTAGTGACACAAGTAAAACACTTTTTAGTACACATACTTAAAATTCATTATATCACGTCCATAAGAAGTAAAAAGTTATTCTTGATTTTTGTATTTTTCAGATGTAACATCGTTCCAGTTCAGCGATGATCACCATAACACTTAAAGTTTGAAAACTCTCTCTCTGGCCTTTTCACTACTTTATGGGAACTTGGAACAATATCCCTTATTCCAGTTTTCAGAACAGGATGTATGAAAATAAAGCACCTCTGTTCAAGAAGTCATGCTGAGTTTACTGAGTGTGGAGCTGAACCTTGATTAGATTTCTGTGTGTTTAAAAAGCAGCTTTATGGTGTTCAGTGTTGAGGGTTTGATTTCCTGTTGGGAGCACAGCTGGACACTTATTTATCCGAAGTGATGATGAGCTGACTGTGAGAACATGTCTGATTTGCAGTACTCTGTTAATAAAGGCTTATTTTGAACTGTGTGGAGAAAAAAAAACACCAAAACCTTTCTGAGATTATGATGATGGAAACAGCACTATTACGATTATTGTAAAAAATGAAACAAAAACATACGTTTATTATGGTGTCTTTTTAATGTAAAAATAATTAAATCACCACAAAAAGGTGTCTGTTTTAATTTTGGGAGAATGATTTTTACCCAAGACAAAGAAAATCAGACTTATTTTCAGTCATGTCTGAATTATGTTTTTACAAACATGAGTACCAGCCTCCGTGAACATGGAGACAATCAGTGTTACGCCACATGTCCATAAGGCTATACTGCCTCACAAGCATCTTTAAATTCACTGTATTAGTGTGAAAAAACAAACACAAAAAAACCCCCATCACATTGGTTGTTTCAGTTTCTTCTTTTTGGGCTTGAC